TTAAAAAAATTAAATTTGTATTATATACTTATGTTGAATGAATGTTATTCTGATTGACATGATATAAAAAATACTGTTATTGATTAAATCAAAACTTGCTCAGGCTAAACTATCATAATTTCATTTAAGAGAATAATTTATTAACTATTATTGTTAGATATGTAAAAGAACGTTAAAAATAAATATCAATTCATTGAAATTATGTTTTGCCATCTCTTCATATACAGTATATATTTTTATTATTATTTATAACATTCTAGAATAGGAGTTGTTAAAACTTTAATTTGCAATATTGAAAGGTCTATGTTATAAATTTTATTTAATTTTTTTACAAAAGAATTTGAAATAACCAATAATTAGCCAAACAATCCCAATTTGCTTGTAAGCAACATAAATACATATATAAACTATAATGGCCTTGATTATTTTATTAAGCTATATAACAAGCGAGAATATGTGATACTACACAATATATATATATATATATATATATTTAAAAGTATGGCATAAACATTAATTTAATTATCCCATATTTGAATTTTTTTTTTTTTTTTTTTTTAAAAAAAAAAAGTTCTTTGAATTATAAAATAAGTTAATATAAAAAAAAAAAAAAAATTCGATTCATTAGAAATTAATTTGAAACCTCGTTTTAAATCATTACAATCATTTCCATTAAATTTAACTTCCATTCCATGGTCGCTGTTGAAAAACCCATTGACCATTAGTTGGAAATTGTGTATTGAGAGTCACTTGTTGCTGTGCCACAGGTCGTTGAACAACATTTGGACGCCGATAAAGTGCCATTTGGGGCATGTTCAACTGTAATTGTGGCGTCTGATCTGAAATAATCCCCTGTAATTGTTGATTTATGGGAAATTGCGATTGAACCATAAAAGCTTGATTATTCCTTATTAATTGTTGTTGTGTAGCAGCCCTCATAATATCAACTTGCTGTTGTTGCGTGTTAGCATTTTGTAATTGAGGTGCGAATCGTCTTTGGATTATTGTAGGATTAGTTACTTGATTCACTAACTGATTGGGAACCTGCCCATGTACCTGACCAGATAACTGAGCTTGAGCTTGGGCTTGAGCATTGGCAAGTTGGGTTCGATTTCGAATAAGCAATGCCATATATTGTTCTCGAGTAAGCCTTATTCCATTACCTGTGTTATTTAGTGGTAGAGTATTTTGCGCAGGAGGTAAATGTATACCGTTACGCATAGGAAGTTGATTGGTTGGAATTGGCCTTGGCGTTATTAGGCCAGGATTTTGTCCAGGAGACTGCAATGGTGTATTTGGTGCTGATCGTTGAGAAGGTTGTGTTATTTGGTCTTGAGCTGTTTGCATAGGTGTTGAAGGTTCAGAAGTTCTTGCAGGAGATTTCATTGGAGTTCCTGGAGATCTTTGTACGGGCTGAACTTGAGTTTGTTCTGACAGTTGAATAGGGGTTCCAGGTGTTGACTGAGAACCAGGTTGTATTTGGGGATTATTTTGAATAGGTATTTGCGTAGGCATTTGCGTTGATTGGACAGGTACAATAACAGGATTTTGGTTTGATTGCCTTGATTGAGGAGGTAATGTCGGTGGCATTCCCGATAGTTGCATTACCATTTTTTGTGGTATTTTTCCTGGGCTTGTTGCGATAACTGGCCTTTGTTGAATTATCATTTGTGATGCAGCTTGTTGAGCAGATACTTGAACATTCATTGGAATATGATTTGGATTTTGAGTAGGCATCGGTTGATTTGGAAGTTGTATTATTCTTTGCATTGTTTGTGGAGACAGTATTGGACGATTTTGAATTGGTGGACGAGTTTGTGGTGGTTGTATAGATTGAGAATTTTGTGATATCTGAATTGGGGATATTGGGGTTATTGGGTTTGCAACCATTTGCGGTTGATGTTGTACCGGGGGTTTTCCAACAGGTTGAGAAAATCCCGACATAACTACTTCCGGAGTTAGTGGAAGACGTTGTTGTGGTGGACGTACACGCACACGCTGTATTGGACGTGGAGGTGGAGGCATTGAAGTTGATTCAGTGGCATGTTTTTTGCTTATGGCGGCCGTGTAGAGATCATAAATTGATTTGATTTCAGTCTTTTTACCATCTTCACTAATGTATTCAAACGCGGAAGGTTTGGTTTCAGATATAGGTTTTTTAGCAAGGAATTCTACTATTTGATAAGGTTCTTTCTTATCAATATTAGTAATATCATGTAACTCATTCTGATTTGATTCTCTAGAATATTCCTCGGCTAATTGAACGATCATATCGGCAGGAATTTTATTAGATCGTTCAGAGTCATTCAGTAATTTATTGTCCATCATGTACAGGATGACAAAAGATTTCACGAATGATTCATAATCAGCGGCATTCTCAAGCTCACACCTATTTTATTATAAATAGGTTAATATAAAAGCGAAATTTAAATTACTAAAATTAAATGAATTATATGTACTTTAGTGTCGGTTTACTATCATCAAGTTTAGAATTATATTTGTCACATAAAGATAAAGTCTTCATAGGCAAGGTATGTGCGCCATTTTCTTGTAGATCTTTTCCTTTAACCGCATGAGCAATAACTTCATATTTACCATTATTATTATCTCGATATATGTAGACCAAAGTAAAAAGATTATCCTTATTCTTTCTGTCTAAAATAACAAATCAAATAATAATAATAATATTATTATTAAATACTATAATGCACTTAAGATTACTTAAGAGATCATATGATACTTGCCTGGATCAGTATATTCTCTTTGAAATTCTATGGTCCTTATAAGGTTCTTAGGAACAGGTGTAGTTATACCTCGTGCTATTATAATAATAAAAAAATATAGGTTAAATGCATAACACAAGATTAAAACATGATTAATAAATAAATATATATATTTGCCTTGATCGGAATGAGATTCAGGTTCAGCTCTTTTCTTTCCTTTACTAATTGCTTGATGATTAGTTTCAGTAACTAAATTTTCTGGACTGCGGAAGTATTTTGCTTGACTATACTTTGGAACGAATTCCTTGCCAATACGCTAATAATTAAATAAAAAATATGAATAGCTAAATCAATTAATATATAAATTGATAAATATATATATATATATATATATACTTCATCCATCATAAACATCATCTTTTCAAGTTTAACACGTTTGGCATCTTCTAATTCAACTTCATACGAATTAAGCTTTCGTTTTTTCTTCTTTAATTTTCTATGTATTTGTTTCATATTTGCATCATTGGTGGCTTTATCATGAAGTAACATTGGATCAATATCCAAATCAAGCTGCGGATGCAATGCAAGCTTTTAATGGATTAAAATTCAATTAATAACTTTGAAAAAAAAGCATGATGTAAAAATTTTTTTTTTTTTTTTTTAAAAAAAAAAGACCTTACAAGTAATTGTGCTTCTAACTGAATGGCTTGTTCATAGGTCCATGAAGCACCTGTTTCTTGGTTTAGTCGCAAAATTTCATCCCATATAGATGTTTGATTATGTTTCAAAATTGACCTCTTGCCATGGCACTTTTGCTCATTACGATGATCCCAAAATTCAACTACGACGCAGCCTTAAAATGCATAATAAAGATGAAATTTAATTTGAATGTTAATCATAAAAAGAATGCATATAGTAATGCATATATTTACCGTCATAAAATGTGTACTTGTCTATATTTAACTCTGAAGTCTCATCCTAAAATGGAGATAATGCGTATAAAAGAAAAAAAGAGGAAAAAAAAAAGAATTCAACACATTCCTACAAACTATATTCAAATATCGATAAATTGAAAATATAGATAGTAAACATTAATTTTAAAAAAGGCATACCAAATTTTTGAATTCTATACGTTTATCATAAACGTGAGCACGAAGAGAAACTTTTTTATCATCGAGGGTTTTCGATATTTGATTTGACATTTTATACTTAAGTACCAGTAATAATAATAATAATAATAATAATAATAAAAGGGAAAATTTGAAGGTATTTAAAGCTAAAAAAAAAATTTCAACTTGAAAAAGTTCGACGGAAAAAAAATTATGAACCATTCGAGATCTATATAAGCGGGGATAGAGTTCTTTTTTTCCGTCGTGTAATAACGATAACACAAAACTGAATCTTTTTGCTATTTATGATATATTAGATCACGTGATAAAGTTTCATGTACTGTACAATAAGTAAAAATGATCGATCATATTTAGTATACATCAATTTATTGATATCGATATATAATTTTGAATTATATCGATATCGCTTTGTCTACCACGAAGAACCCTTGCAATGTATTTGAGATGAACCAAATTTTTGAATCACTTTTATATATTGCATTTTATGTGAAATTTCCAGTCTCGAAATTTTTACAACGCAATAGGTAAAGTTCGATCAACTTCAAATTAGCATTTTCGTTTTAAACCTTAAATTTAATAACCGAATTATATACGTATACAGATAATACGTATCAGATATAGATATCTGATATCAGATATTATGATTTATACATAATTCGTAATGATATTATATTAAGCTCGTATTAACTACGTACTCATAAACGTGAATATTTTTAAAAAAATGTGATCAGAAATATTTAGAAATATATTTTTATGAAATTTTGGTATTTAATAAAACTGTTAGTTCTTTAAACGATGTATAAATGCGTAAATAACTTTATGTTTCACGAAAAATGCTGATAAAGTATAAAAAATCCAATCTTTCGTCATATCAGAGAATGTATAGTCTTATTTTAATCTCGAGTTTTCTTTTTTTTTTAAAAAAAAAGAGATCATGTGATAAACTGCACTAAATAATGTGATGCACGTGTAACAAAAACGACATGTATAAAGGCATGTATGTGATCCTGAGAATTTACATTGCCATTTTTTTTCTTCGCTTAACGATAAAATTAAGAAAATTTTAAATTATTAAAGAAAAATATGATAGAACTTAATCACGATTGCCTCTGGCAGATATTAACCAATTTGGAACAAGATAAAAACTCTCTATACGCGGCAGCATTAGTTAATCATGCTTGGTGTAAAGTTGCAATTCAGTTTTTGTGGAAAAAACCATTTCGTTTCTTGTATACATGTCGAAAGTCATGCCAATGTTTAACCGAAATTCGACATAAGAAAGCGAGAAATCTTCTTACAACTTTCATTACATGTATTGCTCAGAATCAAGTTTTATCTACCATTAATATGCAAGACTTTGTAATATGGACCAACGCATCACGCACGGCCTTCGATTACTCATGTTTCTTGCGTCATATTGACCTCCATGACTTATTTTTAGCTCTCATGGATGGTGTTAAATATTTAATATCACATAAACATCTCGATTATACAATAGCTTTTCATCATATTACAAAATTTATTTCACCTGGCGATAATTGGGAAAATGCTGTCATTAAGGAAATGGCTCGTGATATATGCAAGCTCTTAATATTACATTGTTCTAATCTAAGATACTTATCAATTGATATGGCTAATAAACAATGGTCAAAAGAAAATCATAGATGTTCAAGCCTTCCAAATATTTCTTTCTGGATTACTGTCAAAGAAATTCCCGAAGAACTTTTATTAATTCCAACTTATCCCGGTGCAATTAAAAGTTTATCTCAATTAGTAGAGTTTTATTGGGGTGCCACTCATTGGACTTCTGAATTTTTGATCGCCTTATCAAAAGTTTCCAAAAGACTTCGAACACTTATAATTGATATGTCTAATTTCGGTAGAAATGAGAATAATGATCATGCAAGGAACTTAGGAACTTTAATAAAAGCCCAAACTGCTTTACAAGAAATTCAATTCATCAAATGTAAACCACGTGTCTTACCATCAATCATGCAAGGACTTCGTACTCAAGCTAAATCTTTACGTTACTTTCACTTTCAAGGAATGGTAAAAGATTGGAGTGTATTTTCTGAATTAGTACATTTAACTAATATACAAGAATTGAGTTTCGTTAAGGCCAACTTTCGATGTAGCGAAATTGAAATGTTAGCATCATCAAATTTTCCAAATTTGACGAAACTTGTTTTTGATACTACTAGTTTTCGATTTCCAATTATCATACCTGAAATTATTATACAAAGTTCAGGGAGAAAACTAAAGACATTTTCATTACCAGCATATTTTTATCCATCATATGATGGATTTATTCCAACAGTTGCGTTATCTGTTGCTCAATATTGTACAAATTTAGTACATTTCGAATATCATGTTACTAGAAGAGAGTTTTCACAGTTGATAATACTATTCGCATCATGTCAACATCTTGAAAAGGTTATGCTTGCTGGTAATCCAGAAGATGCAAATGAATTATTATTACAATTAGCAGATTTAGAGTTACCTAATTTACGAGAATTTGAAATTTCCGCGCAATGGTCTTATACTTCAATATCATTAGAGTCATTTCTCGTCAGATCGAAAGCACCACTCAGAGTTCTTGTGCTCCGATCTTCACCATGCTTTTCTGATAATCACTTGGAAGTCGTCTTACGATGTTTAAGTGACACATTACATCGATTACATGTAGAATCAGCACAAAAAATGACTAAAGTGATGTTGTCAAAAGCTAATGAATGTATCACTGATTTTGTGTACAAGATGATATATGAGGTTTATAATCCAGGATGGTTATTAGAATGAAAAAATATTCAATATATATTTTATTATATAAATTATTTAGTTATAATTTAACGATTTACTAAGTCATTGTGTATATATTTTTATAAAAGTTTTAGAAATTACATTTATATCAAAAATTTTTTTTTAAGTTACTAGACTTTTTTTTTTTTAGAAAAAATAATAATAATAATTGTTATTAGCATAATAACATTCTTTAGCTAAATATTATTATTTTTTTTTTATTAAAAGTAATAAAAGCAATACTTCAATATATGAAGTATTAATTAAAAAAAAAAAATTGTTTTAATTTACTAAGCTATAAAATTAAAAAAATTTATCGAATTTGATTAGGTATTTATTATAAAATCTTTACTATAACAAATAAGTTTAAAAAAATTCAATATTTTAAAAAAAACTAATATTGTTATTTCTAATTAGTATATATTCGATTCTGGAATTGGATTTGCATTTTTTAATTTTAATTAACTATTATTAAACTATAGTTTAAAATTGTAATTTTATAAACTTTAATTTAAAAATTTATCAAATTTTAATTAGACTATTTTTTAAAAAATTTATTCCAAATTTAAAAAACTTTTAATAAAAAATAGTATAATTATTTAACTAAATCTGATATATTTTTTTAATTTTACAAATATATATAATTAAAATAAATTTTTTTTATTAAATTTGGTTATGTAGTTATTAAGAAAATTCTACTTAAACTTTAAAAAAATACTATTTAAACTTTTTTAAATATTTAAATAATTTTTAACAATTACAATTAATTTAATAGATATTCATACTAGCTAATATTTAATCTAGAAGAAGATTCTTTCAAAGAATATAGATCAGAATAGATATGAGTAAGTCTGTTCTATGAAAAAGATCAGCAATATTAATTTAGCTTAGTGGCTAACTAGATTTAGAAGAATCTACTCTAAAAGAAATCTGACAATACATACTAGTAGAGAGCTATAATAGGAACTGAGATCATATAAATATCATATAGATCTAAGCAAGATAAATTTATAAAATAAGTACGAACTATTTTAGTAGAAATATTTTGAGGTTAACTAGCTCTGCAATATCTACAATAAGCTAAGTATAATATAATTTGAGAGAACCTAAGTTGTAAATAGTAAATAGATTTGTAACATGCTAGTTAGCTTAAGTAGTTAGATATTATAGTAATGTTAGTTTGTAATAGTATGAGTTAGTTAAACAGAGTATTTAAATAGATAACTTATAGGTAGGTTACAGATAAGCTAGCATAGTATAGAACTAATCAGGTAGTCTAATGCCTATATAGTGAACTACTTAAAATAGATAATAACTAAAATTATACATATAGTTTGTTATACACTCTTCATATAATTACAAACTGTAGAGGATTACTTATATATAACCTTGTATATCAAACTAATAAAATCTGCTCAATAATATAAGCTATCTTAAAAATAAAAAAATAAAAAAAAATAATTTAATAAAAAATTTATTAATTTAAATTCTAAAAATATATAAAATTAATTAAAGTCAAAAAATTTTTACTAAATTTTAATAAAGTAATTATTAAGAAATTTATTAAAAAAAAAAATTAATAAATTTAGATATAAAATAAATTTTTAAAATTTTTAGTTAAAGTTTTTTTAATTATAGTTTGATAAAAATTTTTTATATAACTTGCAGATTTATAGTATAGTAATTACATTCCTAAATTATAATTATAATATTTTTAATTCAAATCTAATTAAAAAATTAACTAAATTAAAATAATAATTAAAAATTTAAGATTTTTTAAAATTTTTTTGTTTTAAGAACAAAAGATATATACAAACAAAAAGTGTAATTTAATTACAAATATTATATTACTAGACAAAAAAAAATTAACTAAAAAAATATAAAATTAAAATCTTCATATAAAGAATATAATTAAAATTAAATATTAATAAAAAGTAATACTACAACTATAAGTTATTTGAGTTGAGAAATTAATATTTATTAAAAGTTATATATAGCAAAATTAGAGATCTAGAATATAATATAATATTATAGATATAATAACTTTATAAATTATAGTAAAATAAAAAAATATTATATACTTTTAGATATCTGTATTAGAAATAGTCAAAAAAAAAATTTTTTTTATATTAATTCTATATATTTGCAAAAATAAAATAAACAAATATCAAATTTGATTTAGTAAATAAATTTTTATTAATAATTACTTAATCAAATTTAATAATTTTTATTTTCTTTAAATTTTATATATTAGACAAAGAATATTTCTTTTTATAGAGATTTAAAATATTTTAATTATAAGTTAAATAACTTAATATATCTCAATTTTATATATTAATTTATATTAAAAAAATCAAATAAGTATAAATCTATAAAATTTACAAAAATATAATATTTGTAAAATTTTTAGTAAAAATCTGTTATATAGAATTATATTTAATTTTTGTAACTATAGCTAGTAGATTTGAAATTTTATATAGATTTTTATTTAATTTATTATTTAATTTTTTGTAAAATCTATATAAAAAATATTAAAAAAAATTTTTAATAAAACTACACAAAGTTAATTTCTTGGTTTATATAACAAAGTTGGGTTAAAATTTATAGATCTTTAAAAAAAAATTTCATATGTAATTTATTATAAAATCTTTAGGTTAGTTTTTTTAAAAAAATTTTAAAAAATTTCATATATTTTTATATTTTTCTCTAAAAAAAATCATATGAAATTTTCTATAAATTAAAATAAAAAATTAGGCTACTAGATCACTTAAAAAATTTTATGTTATAAAAACCAAGAAATTAACTTTGTATAGCCTAATATATAAAAAAAATTTATTTAATTTTGATTTAATTAAAAAATAAAAAAAAAGTTTTAGGTCTGACGATCTTAGTGTAGTGGTTAGGTTGCCAGATCGCCATGCAAGAGGTCTGAGATTCAAATCCCACTGTCGACGAATTTGAATAATTACTCAGACCTTTGTACCCAACTTACGGTAAACCCTGTCCGTTTC